TTTTTTTTTTTTGGTACTGGGGATTGAACTTGGGACCTTGCACTTTTGAGGCAGGCAGCAGAACCACTGAGCTAAATCCCCAGCCCAAAAGCATGTGTATTTCTACTCCAGAATGAACAACCTAAACTAATTCATATATCAGAAATGTAATTCTAGAAAACATATAGCACATTTTACAATACTTTTTTTTTTTAGGTAGAGGGAATTGAACCCAGAGCCTTCACACTCACTTATATTTCCCATATAGATATAGATATAGATAATTTTTTATTTTAAGAAAGTTCTCACTAAATTGCTAAGGCTGGGCTCAATCTTTCATCCTCCTGCCTCAGCCTCCCAGAGTGCTGTGATTATGGACATGCACCACCATGCTCAGCAACAATATTTTTATAAGTGAGGCATGGTAGTGCATAACTAACTATAGACCCAACTATTTGGTTTGGTTTTTGTTTTGTTTTGTTTTGCTTTTTGAGACAGGGGCTCACTATGTAGTTGAGACTGACCTAGAACTCCCTACGTAGCCCAGGCTGGTCTCGAACTCACAGCGATCCTCCTGCCTCAGCATCCTGAGTATTGGAATGACAGGCGTGCGCCACCATGACCAGCTTAGACTCAACTATTTGGAAGGCTGAAGTTAAAGGGATGCTTGAGCTCACAAATTCAAGACCAGCCTAGATAACATAGCAAGACTCCATCTAAAAAGAACAAAAAACTCCTATAAAGTATGATTTTTTATAAAGTATCATTTTTTTAAATACAAAGATCTGAGCCCTTTATGGAGAAATTGAAGAATTGTTATCCTAAGTATCTGATAAATCTGATAATAAATTTTAGTAAGTCCATAGCCTTTTAGCTATCAACCATGTAAAATAAATTAAGTATTGGTGGTGAAACAGCAGTGCAAGAGTAACAAGTTTCACTCACATGCAGCCAGCGTAATTTAAGAGTGTGCCAGGCAGAATGGCAGCAAGGTATGTGATCTACCTGGAAGGCTAGATGTTAATCCCAACTCAGCAAATGAATCATTAGATGACCTTGGGAAATTTACTATTGTGTGTGTGTGTGTGTGTGTGTGTGTGTGTGTGTGTGTGTGTGTGTGTGTGTGTGTGTACGTACCAAGGGTCGCACACAGGACCTTACGCTTGCAAGGCAGGTGGCGGCAGCACTGAGCTAAATTCCCAGCCCAACCTTGGGAAATTTAGTTAGCTTTAGCGTCTCTGTCTAAAAAGACAAACAGTAATAAGATTATACTTCTAAAATAAATCATTAGAATATGAGCAGGGGCAGTGGAAAGAGAAAAAAGACAATAATGAAGAGTGTAGAAGAGAAGGAGATGAGAACACACACACACACACACACACACACACACACACACACACACACACGGCAGCTGCAAGACTGAAGGGCGCTGAATGAGTACTCAGGACCATACTGAAAACAACACGGTGACTTTAGGAAACAGTGCCCAAGAATCAAAAGAGATTAAGATAAGCAAATCGGACATTATTTAACCATAGTAAATGCTTGGTTAAAGGTGGAATTGAAATCCCTATCCCTTCTTTCCGAATTGGGCAAAAGATTAAAAAGTGAACATCCTAACACTGCAATTAATTCAAGAAATAGTTATCAGGTCTTGCCTCCAGGCCAGGCACTGGGAATCTGATGGCTAATAAGACAGGTGTAGCTTCTGCTTTCACTGAGCCAGCAAGAGATACAAAAGAGATATGAACCATAAGTAAATAAAATAATTAAAATTTGCAGGTAAATGCTATGAAGAAAGTGACAAAAGAGCCATATGAACATCTGCAGCACATAAAGGGGAAGAGTAAGAAAAGAGGTACAGCAAGTGCAAAGGACCTGAGGCAAGACTCTACCTAGCACTATTAAGCAAAGCTTGAGAGGCTATGGCTCTGGACTCACCTCCTGCACCAGGCCCCATCAGACCCCATCAGACCAAGCCAGCATGGAATCAATTGCACTAAGTAACTTAAACTGAACTCTGAAAAAGCCTATTTTTCCAGAAACAGGAGACTCTCAGCAACCAATCAGAAAAGGTCTACTTTACCTGAGCCAGCAAGACCAGGAAATCCCTCTGCTTTAAGCCTACAGGGAAAAAAACTTCAAAGCTACCAATATGCTTTTTGTTTCACTCCTTCAGCCCCTTTGGCCTATAAAGCAGGCTCCTCTGTTCACCTATCAGAACATTTACCCTAAACATTCTTTTTTTGGTAACATTTTTACAAATCTCTTTTTTGGGCCCAGAAGAAGACAGATTTTTATACCAGCTTCTGCACAATAACAAGTGTTTTTGTTTGCTAAGGCAGCCATACTAGTCTATATAGTCTTTCACTGAACAAATGCGGCATGATGCTAGAACCATAAACACAAGCTACCTCAAAGTTTAAAGTAAATTTGTTGTGATTTTGTCAGCACATGTATAGGAACAGCAAGGCCAATCAAACAGGGTAGAAAAAATTGAGAAGACAGTTCATAGAAAAAGGGAGATGAAGGTAGCAAGAGGTCAAACTAAGCAGCATCTCTCAGGCTGTGGATTTTATTCTGGAACAAATAGGAAGTTTGTAGCTGGTAAAGTTACATAACTGGTAGATTTTTTTTTTTTTTTTGCAATTAGAAGATCGATTACCTTAATTGTATCTTAATGTCCTTTCCTTCAAATGCAGGATTTATTTATTTACTTATTGAGATGGAGGTCTCACTATGTTGCACAAGCTGGTCTTAAACTCCTGGGGCTCAAGAGGTCCTCCTGCCTCCGCCTCCCAAGTAGCTGGGACTATAGGCACATACCACTATGCTCAGCTTGACCCCATCATTTTAAATGGTAACTCTTATTTTTTACCACAAAGCCAGTGAGAGTGCAGGAGAGGTGGTGTGGGATTATTTTGGTTTTGCTTTAAAAAACATTTTTAATTTTTAAAAGATAACTGGCACTACTCAAAAGTGACAAGGTTTTGAGTATAGGATAAGCCTCCTTCAGTCCTCTGATCTCAGCCATCCAGCTCCACCCCACTAGCCTCTTGTGTGGCCTTCAAGGAATTGGATTTCAAAATAACCTTCCCCTGTGAATATTTATTGAGAGTCTAGTTTATGCCAGGGGCAGGGCTAGGTAACAGGACCTAATAGACTAAGACATCTTTCCTCCTCCCAGTGTCTACTCCCTAAAGACACATAAAAGATTTCAGGGTTTGATTCACATATACAAGAAAAAATTCGGGCTCAGGATAAATGAGGGGGATAATTTTCAACTCCAAAATATTCATACTGTCTTTAATACAATTTAAGAGCTGTAAAAGGCAGGAGAGCCAGGGCATGTAAAATGCATTTTAAAATGATTTTCTACTCTATTAAAAATTCCCTAAAATAGTTTGTTCTTCACGAGCCTAATCCCACTCAATCAAAAATAGTAAATTATGAGGAAATGTCTTAGGTTATTTTAGAAAAATCTATGTAAGGAAAAAACTGAATGTAGTGTCAGATGTGCCTTTTGAATTTTGTTACCATGTGAATCTATTGCTTATTTTAAAATACATACATATATTTTTAAATTAGGGTACAGATTTTTAAATGGGTCGTAGGTAAGCAGAGGAGAACAGGGTTGAAACTTGGAGCCCCTGATTTGTTGCTCCCAGGGAATTTAAATCACTTGCCAACTGAGGAAGGCTGGGTCTTCCTACCTCACCACTGGGCAGGGAGTGAAATGAACCAGAGCCCTTACCCTGACTCCCCAAGGAGCTCCTACTCATCCCTGAAGAACATGTGCAAAATCCCCTCCTCCCTGCAGCCTTCCAGGAAGGCTTTCCCAGCCAGGAGTCAGGGACGCCATCCTCTGGGCTTCCAGGAAAAATGTCTCTGCCAGTGTCTGTCTGTCTGTTTGGTCCTGCTTCTTTCAGTTTTTTCCAGAGCCAGGAAGATGTTTCAGAAGCCTCGAGGGGTGTTCAACAACTCAAAATTAGGAGCTCAGTAAATACGTGAGGTGGATGGTGCCTAAATTACACTTTTCTTTGCCTGCATTTGCACTTGCTTTACACATGATTCTGCAAAGAATGTATGATTTGTCTATTAACAAATGGCTTACGACTGTAAAATCATAAACAATGTAAATACATTGTTTTATTCTGATGACAAAAAAATTTTTTTTCAAAAACGTTCAATTCTGTTGGGATGTCTTCTCAATAAAAGAAAAAAAATTGAAACAGTTCTGGAGAAGTTAAAGCCCAACAGATGTTCGCTAAGAAGTGATCTACTTAATACTGCAAATGATGCAAGATAAACTCAAGTCTTCATGAGCTTTTCCCAGGACTGGATGGGAGCATTTACGTGGGAGCAAGACAAGGAAAATAAGAAGCAAAAGAAATTAGGAAGGGGAAATAAAAATGATTAAGATGAGATACGCATATTTACCAATTCCTCAGGACGAATGTTCCGTAATTATTATGTACCACAAACATATAGTAATTTCTTAAAAAGCGAATGGAAAAAAGACGCCCGTGTAGTTTCAGGCGGGTTTGTCTGGCTGTTCTGGAACTTTTAAGAAAAAACCAAACTGTAACACACACACACATACATACATACATACATACATAAAGTTTAAAGTCACCACATTGCTAACGCTGGGTGACGCCATGAGACTTGCGAGCTGGGCTATTTTTTCGGGTCCTTCCTTCCGCAGTTTTCTGCGCTTTCTAGACGCCCCGTGGAGCCCCGAACTTCCGCAGCTGTGAGGGTCTCAGGCCCAGGCCCCTCCCGCGCGAACCCGACGCCGGCGCCGCGGCGAGCGCAACCTCCCGGGCAGGAGTACGAAGGACTAGAGCGCGCCCCTCTCCGTCCGCCCGCTCCGCCTCGCCAGCCCCAGCTCCACGGCTCAGCCCTAGACTCAGAAACCGTTGGCTCACTAGGACCTAACTTTACCGGAACCCGACGTCCAAGGCGTGCACGCCCCGGAAAAGAATTGTTGACGCATCGTCCCCCAGGGAGGCCTGAGGAGAGGCGGAAGTTGAAGGGGCTGGGGCATCTGGGGGAACTTTGCCTAGGTGGCACTTTCCTGTTCGAGGCTCCGCCCCCGCCGGAGGGGCTCGGCTTCGAGATTCAAGATGGAGTCGTTGAGTCGAGCTGGGCAGGAAATGAGTCTAGCGGCTCTGAAGCAACACGACCCCTACATCACCAGCATCGCAGACCTCACGGGCCAGGTCGCTCTGTACACCTTCTGCCCCAAGGCCAACCAGTGGGTGAGTGAAGCCTGTACACTGAGGACTGCAACCTGCCCGCCGCCGCCTCTTAAGGGGACCACGCAGGCTGCCTGGGGCGGGGACCAAGCAGGAGGCCAGCGCGGTGGAGCGAGCCAGGGACTGGCCTAGAGCCCAGCCAGAGACTGAGAGGTGTGGGAGGCTCTCAGGATTGGGGGGCAAAGAGCGAGCGAAGTGTTAGGACACATTTCAGGAAAAGCCGGGGAGAGGAGGATCGGTGCAGGATCAGTACCAGGGGGTCGGATTTGGGGACGTGGGTGACCTGTCTGCTTTACAGATGCAGTGGGGGATTGAGACCGATGGGTGCCTGAAAACTTACGTTTGAGGCTTTGAGGATTATTAGATAAATTTCATATACATAATATATAAAATAAACACCCCTCTTCTCACCCGAACCGTGTAAATGAGGGCCCCCTTCGCAGAGGTCATTTGGATTTGAAGCTTGAAATACAATTAGTTTCAATTCTTGGAAGAGAGAGGCTGTAGTCTGGCTTTAGTCGAACTGCATTCTATTTCCAGAGTTTTGGAAAAGATTGCGAGGCACTTAGGGGAAAGGCTTCTATGTTAATTGGATTCCCTGAAGGCATTTTAAAGGGAAAAGAGATCAGTGATGTCACCTCCAAAGGCTCCCCAGACTTAAGTATTTTTTGCACCAGGGGGAAAAGTTAGTGTTTCCTGACTCGTTAGACTTTGCCTTGAAGCTTCGTTAGTTGTTTATGTAATTTCTCATTTTCCTGTAATTGACCTTTCCTAATTAAAACTCATTCTGTTATAGGTTTTGCACTTAGAAAATAATCCCTAAGTGTTAGTTTGATTGAATTCATCAATAACTGGCGTTCACATTTCAGTAAGAAATGAAATCGTTAACAAAACTCAAAGATGATTGTACTGTTTTTTATAACATACAGGTGCATAGATTGTATTATAATAATTTTGTGAAAATCGTTTGGCACTTATGAACAGTTTATTCACGTAAAGTTTTCATAATCATCTTTCCTTCACCTCTAGGAAGAAAAGGAGATACAGCAAGCCACTTGAATAAAATTATGGATTATTTTTCAAATATTACTGTTGTAGATGTTGCCATAGTTTCAGGTGTATTGAATCACTTTTCTTGTTTTGTATGTAAATTTTTGAAATACGGATTGCTGATAAATGGGACCAAGACTTATTTCTGAAAAGTTGTTTTGGGAGGGCTGTTTGTTTTTTGGTTTTTTGAGGCACGGCCTCTCTATGTAGTTCAGGCTGGCCTTGGACTCATTATGTAGCTCAACTGGCCTCGAACTTGCAGCGATCCTCCTGCCTCAGCCTCCTGAGTACTGGGGTTACAGGCATGTGCTACCATGCCTGGCACAAAGTTTGTATTTCTAATTTTTCACGAAGACTTTCAACATTTTAGAATTTTTTAGTTGGGGAGTTCTGTTTTAAATAGGAAAGATAAGCTGTAACAATCTGAATTGAAAAATAAGCCATTTGTTTATTTGGATCATAGCATATAATATATAACCAAAATCTTTTTTTCTCTTTTTTATTTCATGAGTTGTAAACTTTGCACAGATAAATTTAGGGCAGATAAATTTTCTTTCACTGTGAGTCAATTGATTATCATTTTCTTATACTAACATTTTAAAGTCAGAAAAGGCTTCTGAATCCTTAGGAAGGAAAAGTTTCATGATAATTTAAGCTTAGACAATACTCCTGGAAGAAATCAAGACAAGAATTTTTTTATCCTAACAAAGTCAATTTTATATGACTTACATTAAAGTTTTGGTAGTTTTTTATTACATTAAAATGCTAGATACATGGGCCGGGAATGTAGCTCAGCAACATGGTGCAGCACCTGTCTGGCAGGCACAAGGCCCTGAGTTCAAGTCCTGGTACCAAAAAAAACCAAAATTAGATCCAATCTAAACGGCAAACTGCAGTGTGGAATTATTTGTATTTTGCTCATTTTCACCATTAAAAAATTTAAAGGCCTACAGTAATGATTTAAGATGGAATGTAATTTCAGTATCCATGATTCTTCAAAGAATTCTAAAAATAAACTGTTTTTGATAGTTTTTTCTTACCTAGCCACAAAATTTGTGACTACCAGAATCCCCCCAGTGATGAATCAGTGTGTTGGATAAGAAGGTTTCCTTTCTTCTTCTGTTAACTTTGGTGAACTTTAAAAGTGAAGAAATTGAAATAGGACATTGGCTTTAAAATTTAGAAATCTAGCTAAAACATTTAGCTTTTAAAAAGTTTGGGCTACACAAGTGTGGTGTCACATGCCTGTAATCCCAGCACTTGGGAGGCTAAGGCAGGATTGCCAGGAGTTCGAGGCCAGCTTGAACTACATAGTGAAACCCTGTCTCAAAAAATAATAACAACCAGTGTAAAGGCTAATTGTGTGATTTTCACCTTTACTAGTTAGAAAAATGTAGATGCAGACATGCTGCTGGATTGAGTATTACACATACTTAGCATGGATCAATAGCATTTGAATAGACAGTAAGAAACTGGTAACAGCAATTTGTAGAATGACTGACTTGCTTCATCAGACATGATTAATTTTATAGTAAATAAAATGTATGATCTGGAACTTGAACTACTTCTCCCATGGGACTCTTTGGGATTGGGTTATGGAAGAAAAACACTAACTGATTCATTGTCTACTATAGGAGAAGACTGATATAGAAGGGACCTTGTTTGTATATCGAAGGTAAGTGTGCGCGCGCGCGCGCGTGTGTGTGTGTGTGTGTGTGTGTGTGTGAATTTTTTTCTGAGTATAATGGTGAGGGTTGAAGATATAGCTCAATATTAGACTGCTCATCCAGCATGCTGAGGCCCTGAATTCAATCCTTAGTCCTGCAAATAAAGAAAGAAAACATAATGGTAAGTAGAACCATATGAAATGGTTCATATCTGTTCAGATTTTGTCCTTGAAACCCTCCTGCTTCTCCCCTTCAGTTTTCATCTATCACTAGTTGTGAGATCCTAACCTAGTTATTTCTTTTCTCTGATCCCTTCCTTTGATTTAGAATAAACAGACTAGAATTTAAGAGTTTACCGAAACCATTCCAAAATAGCATGTTCTAGTAACAAATAAGTGTTAAATAGGTGCTTGCCTCCCTTCTGCCGTGCGAAAAAGAAAATACGTACCTTTGAGGACATGAATAGACTCATTCTCTAAAGTAATGTGGTTGAGAGGTCAGGTCCTCTCTTCATAACTAGCCTGCCCCCTTCATCCCTCGCATTCCACATACCACCTCCACTACCACCACCCCAACCCTGGCAAAAGTCCTGGATTATATGCAGTGTCTTTGATAATATGTATTTTTAGTTAGAGAGGTTTTTGGTTTTTTGTTTGTTTTTTTTTTTTTTTT